CGGAATGGGGGAAAATGAGTTCAGACAAGGATTAATAGTAATAATTTATTGAAACGTCAAAGCTTCCGCGGGGGAGGGGGGGGGGTACTGAATTCAAAAAAGGATTAAGAGTCGAGAACGATTCAACGGTACAATGAATCGTCTTCTTTCACTATACTTTATTGAAACGTCAAAGCTTCTGCATTTTGCGCGGTAGGGGAAAAACTGAAAAATAACTTAGTTCCTGGCCCCGGTTTATAGGGTTAAATTTGTAGACATTTGGACATTGGCACTTTTATATTTGTCGGTAATTGGTGGCTCGTTTTGTCGGTAATCGGTGGCCTCTACACCCCCCCCCCCCTCCTCCCCACTGAAAAAGATCTAGCCACGCCCCTGATATCGACACAGACTATACACTCGAGATAACTTTTGCAAATTCTACTGGTGAAGTACCGGACCACCGTCTTGGTGCATTGGCCGCATCAAAGCATAATCTATACAACGTCTCACGACATGACAGATCACTTTTCTCTAACTTTTAACCAATCAAAAGGCCTCTTTTTTCCAGGAATTGCAAATTGCAAAATATCCCTAATCTTGGAAGGGGTAGGAGAAAGCATTTTTACGTCATATTACTCCAGGAAGTGCCTGAAAATGTGTCTAATTTGGTTCTAAAATTGCGAATGCTTCTTACTCGGAACCCCCTCCCAGACCCATCCCCTGTTTGGTCGCTCCGCTCCCTCGCCGTTAAAGCCTCGTTCTGTTGCTTCACCGTTTTACATATATTTCACCCCATGCCATTTTGTGACCCCCCCCCCCCACACACACACACACCTGGTAAGAAATCACTGGATCCGCCACTGATGCCCATACCCTTTAAGCTGCTGGGGCTCCGCCCCTTGACCGCAGCCGGGGCTTTGACCCTACACCCCACTTTGAGAAACGTTCAACGGGCCTGCATGTTAGAGTGGGGTGATTCAGATTTTTTTTCGTCAGCCCCCCCCCCCCCCCAACCATTTTTGCTCATTACGCCACTGGCAACCTTGACTACCATTTTAAAAGGTGTTTTAAGACACCTAATAATTACTAGTTTTTCACACCGAAATATCACGGATTCAATGCTTAGATTAGTAATCAGTTTTAGCCACGTGATCATCACCAAGAAAGTTATGGTAACTTTGAAACCATTTAAAAAGGTGTTTTAAGACACCTAATAATTACTAGTTTTTCACACCGAAATATCACGGATTCAATGCTTAGATTAGTAATCAGTTTGAGTCACAAGACCATTACCGGGGAACTTTTGGCAACCTTGACTACCATTTTAAAAGGTGTTTTAAGACACCTAATAATTACTAACTTTTCACACCTAAATATCACGGATTCACAGCTTAGATTACACTGTTAGAACGGTGTTTAAAATATCACTGTTAAAAGAATGTTGTTTAAAAAAGTAAACAACGTTGTTCAAAATCGAAAAATCAGTGCTCGATTGACTTAAACAACTATGTATTAAAAGACAAAAATATTTAATTAAACAGAGTTGTTTAAAAGTCCGGGGGCGTCGTTGATATTTTCTCGATACGCGATTGCTATTTGCGCACACACATGCGATATGCACAAAGTACGTACATAATACATGCATACAAGCATGCAGTGCTAGTGTGTGCAGTGCAAGTGCTAGTGCAGTGCAGACGAAAATGGCGGAACAAGGGCAAGGCGACGACTTGGTTCTTCTCGGCTTCGCCGATGGGGTTTAGGTGAAGTTATAGAGACAAATAATAATGTTGTCTGTCACTGCCATGAATATGATGAACAAATGTTGAAGTAAATTGGCAACAAGCTCTGCATGTTGCAGTGTATAAATCGTTGTGATTATTGCAGGAGTGGTTCCAGTAGGTCATTTCACAAATTCAAACAACCAGATAATAACCATTAAACAGTTCTGTTTAAAATTTAAGCGACTCCTTTTAAACAACCCAGTTGTGCAGTAATACTGAATAAACAACAGTTGCTTAGTAATTTAAACATTATTGTTTAAAATTTAAACAACTTGCTTTAAACAACCGAGTTGTGCAATTTTATTACTAAACAACTGTTGTTTAAAAGGTTTCCTAATTTTTAAACAACTAAGTGTTCAAAATGTAAACAACCTTAATTTGTTTAATTTTTAAACAACGTTGAGCGATTCACCGGTTAACTCGGGTTTGTTTAAAATTTTAAACAACTTGTTTAATTTTTTTCTAACAGTGTAGTAATCAGCTTGAGCCACGTGATCATAACCAAGAAAGATATGGTATTTTTGAAACCATTTAAAAAGGTGTGTAGGACACCTCAGAATTACTAGTTTGATATAACCAGAGATTCACGGACAGAGCAATAAGACGATTAGCTGGTGTAAGTAACGTGATTATTACTATCAACCTTGGATAACCTGTGAAACCAATCGTGCTTAAAAGACCAAATAATTACTTATTTATCACCACCATCGGTTAACGGACAAAAAACTCGTTGCTTGGTCAAGTGGTTATTTGGTCATAAACACTTGATTTACAGAGGTAAGTGGAATCACGTTACTCCAGTCGCGTGATAAATTGGTGGTTTTAAGGTTAGATGAAAACGTCAACAGGAGTACCTTTTTTGTTTAAATGAAGGCACCTGTCGATAACGTTTAAATCTATTTCAAAATGCACCATACTTTAAAATCACTTAATAAAATACACTCCCAAAGAGGTTACTTTTTAGTGTTTTGTTTATTGGGCGGGGCACCCAGAGCTTGATAATGCGGGTCAGCAGGATCCTGGTTGTCCGGGGCAGCAGGAGCCTGGTTGTACGGGGCACCAGGAGCCTGGTTGTACGGGGCACCAGAAGCCTGATTGTACGGGGCAGCAGGAGCTTGGGTGTAGGGAGCTGGAGCAAAAGGCCGGCCAGCAGGGGAATACGCCTGCTGAACGCTGTATCCTGTGTAGAGACAATGGGAATTTAAGGAATTAGTAGTATAATTTCCCTTTTTACATCAATAAATTGCGATTAATAAACTGATTGTATAGTGCAGAGTAACATTGAAATTCAAAGAAAGTAAACGGAAGTTTAATCAAGTTATCGATAATGAAGCGTATTCATTAAAAATTAAGCACATTCATTCAGAATATTAACCATAACTGTGAAGTATTATAATATTATCACTCAAACTTGCAAAAATTGCCAACTTTTTGTACATGTATGTGGACAAGTTCACAGTTTTGTTTCCGACACGTTACCGACCACATTGCAAAGATTGTAGTATACCTAAAGTTTGTCATCAGTTTACAAAAATTTTAGTCGAGATCTGACAAGTAATCAAGTAGAATTAATAATTTCAGTATTTATTATGTTTGTTTTTTTAAATACCATAAAGCTTAATGACAAATGGGACAGAGAATTACACTTGCTAACATTTCACACAGAATCTAGCATTTAATGATAAAAAGGTATAATGAAACATTTTCCCCACCCCCCCCCCCCCCAAAAAAAAAAAAAAAAAAAAAAAAAACATACCGAAAACTGGAAACAAAACTATTTTATACGTTCTTCTATATCTAAATTCATAATGAGTGTTCTGTGATTCTTAATACTACCGATAACCATAATTTCTTTTCAGAACAGTTTCAGTGGATCGCTATATACATGTATTAGTGTGTTTGAAATATATTGTATCAATCATTTCAGCTAGTGGACCATTTCAAAAATGTGAGTGATTTTATACTGACGTATTCGAGCAAATATTTTGATGAAATGGAATGCATTGGGTAATGACGAATAAACATTGGACGGATGATCAGTGTAACGGGCGACAGACCTGCGGTAAATTCATCTTTAATAACATATTGATATATGATTCCGGATGTATCATATTCATCCCCATTCGGTTCGATTTCAAAATTCTATAGAAGAGGTTAATTTAATTGTTTACCCAGGGAGTTTCCAATCCGAACTCTCTGATTTACCACTACCTCGGATTTCGTGTATGTATGAAATGTTGCAATCTCCACAACCCTCCCCCTCTTTCTCTCTCTATCTCTCTCCCTCCCGCTTTCTTGTCTCCATTCCTCTGTCTTTATTGGTCTCTCTCTCTCTCTCTCTTCGTCCCTCTCATTTTCGTATCCTCTATTGCCACCCTATATTTCCCTTTCTTTCTAGGTACCTTCATGTCAGAGATTCCTGGTCTATTTCTCTATCTCTTTCCCTTCTCCCTGTCTCTCTGTCTTTCCCTCAATCGCTCTGTCTTTCTTGGTCTCGACCCCCCCCCCTCTCTCTCTCACTCTCATCCCCCTCTCTCTCTCTCTCTCTTTCTCCCTATCTTTCTCCCTCTAATCCCTCATCCTAGTTTTTTTCTTGCAATTTATCTGCCTTCCTTGGTGTCTCTCTCTCTCTCTCTCTCACTCTTTTTTGATTTCTCCCTCACTTTTCCTTGATTCCCCTGTCTCTCTTAGTGTCCCTATTTTTCTCTTTCTCCCTCTTGTTCTGTCTTTCTCTTCATTCCTCAGTCTGTTTTGGCCTCTCTCTCTCTATGTCTATCTTTGTCACTCTCTTTATCTTATCCTCTAGTTCTAGCTTTCATTCCTTTTTTTTTTTTCTTTTCTTGTTTTGTGAGCATGTCTCTGTCCCTCTCCTTCTCTCATCCTCTTTTCTTCCCTCCATTCAGCGGCGGATCCGGGGGCCCGGCTCCCTACCGTGGGAAAAAACATGTAAATTATTTGTTAATAAAGAAAGGCCCCCTCGACTGGTGCTCAAGGGGAGAGGAGTGATTTTCACATTTTGGGGGCAAAAATAAATAAATTAGTGCTCCCCCCCCCCTTATTTACCGGCTGGCTGTTTCGTCGCTCATTAATTTCTCACGAAGTGGGCCCTCTCTTTGGCTCCCTCCCCTGTCGTCGACTGGATCCGCCCCTGCCTCCATTCCCCTCTCTTCAAAGATGTCTGCTCTCTCTCTCTCTCTCTCTCCGTGGTCAAGTTAGTGATGACTGGTTGATACGAAATGATCAAAATCGAAAAGTTTATTGTACATATGATACGTTTACCGCAGGCTGTACCTCAGTGAATGATACACCAAGCATTAAAAGGTATATCAGATATGTTGCATTAAGCTCGAGAATATTACACGAGTCGAAGACGAGTTCAAATATTAACAAGCTGAATACAATATCTGATATACCACGAAACCAAGCCATTATTATTATTATTATTATTATTATTATTATTATTATACATTAAAAATTGAACCACAGTGAAACTAAAAGGAATGAAAAGATCACTTTTTTCATAAATGTTTATATTCTAAAAACAGTTCTATAAAATAAAGATTTGAAATAGTGAAGCTTCGAATTTTACAGCTGCTCCAATATTTCATCTACAAAAAACATAGAAAAACAAATATGAAATGTGTCTCTTACAATACGCGCCTTGTAAGATTTGAGAATTTAATTAAATATACAAAGTCTCAAAAATGATATCTCAGAAAGTAGAAGTTTCAGCTCGAAGGTATTTAGTGTGCCCACGGCAATCTAAGCATATAATATGACTTCGGATATAGAAAGAGTCATTTAACAAAAATAAAAACATGATAAGAATGAGCACGGAAGAAGGCAAGGTGTAAGGTATTGTATTGTTCGCTGCATCTTTTATATAATGTCACCGAATCAGATTGTTTTAAAATAACATATACTGATTTTAATCGATGTGATTTTTTTTGTGTTCGTGTCTTCTTCTTTTTTTATCATTTCTGTCTGTTGTATTTTTGTATAATTCGCCTTATTAAATTCTAAATTCAAACAGCAAAATGCAGTAAACACAGTAAACAACTTGAATTACCCACCTTATTGTTGTAAAAGGAATCTTTTCCCTTTCCGTTTGTTTTCTTGTTTCAACATTTGTCATGTTAATGGCACTCTGTATTGCGTTTCAGACACTGAACAACGATAATTCATTGACGGTTTTTTAAAGAGATGCTTTCGTATTTAATTCCGAAACACAAGGATTCTAAAAGAAACTGATATTCTACAGAATAGAGTTGTAGACTTACATAATGGCGCGTTCATTATCATTCTACAGAAACCACTTCATTAAGTCACTACACGCAGGATTATGAATTTATTTGAACTTTCATACCACGTACGCATTGATTTATCTTATGTTTAGAATTCAGCAAAAGATCAATTTCACACAATTTTCTGAAATTCTTTTCGCTTCAAATCATCATTTGTCTTAAATTCTCATCGATCTTCGTCAACCTAATTAATTGACGAATTGATTACTTCCAAAATGACAGTCTAAAGATTGAAAGGCACAACATTAATATATCATCAGGTAAAAAAATATACACCGGTAATTGCATATATTCCACTACACTTCAGGCAAGTAGAAAAAGGCTACTTATTTTCAAGGTTATAGGGATACAGAATCAACATAAAAACAAACGGTTTTAATCTATATCGAAGTTAAATAAATCTTTCTTTAATTTATTTTATTACAATTTCAAATGTTCTTGTTTGGTCCTCTGAATTAACATTTTGATGATTTATAAAGCAGTTGGGGAATATCAGCCCATTTATTTCAAATGCAGTATGCATAACTTTTCGTCTACAAGTTGGCTGGTTACATATTTTTCGCACTGTGACATTCAGCTGTTTTATGCTGTTAATGTTGTTTGTTGTTGATATCTTTGTTCTGTTAACAGATCTTTCTGTGCAGTCATCAAGAGTACTCAATTGAAACCCAGCCGCCTAATAAATAGTAACAAAAGGGTTCTCTATTTCTCACGTTGGGTGGAATGATGGGGGGGGGGGGGGATTTCAGCTTCACTTAATGAATAGAGGACACTTATTTTACTTCCATACCACATATTTTGTTTAATATATTTTGCTATGTTATATCATTTAAGTCACCCCCTGCTAGAATAATGAGTAATTCATTGTTTTCATCATCAAGCATTAGTTTGACGTGGCTTTAATTTGATGATCCTTCAGGATAACCTTTTTGGGGGGACTTTATCTATAAAAAATAGATCAGCCATTATTTTAGTTTTTTCCCTTCATCTGCTATCTTTTAATTACCAATTGAAGAAATTAGATAAAAAATGATTTAAAATTATAATCACTGTATCACGGCTAACAGTAAGAATCGAAACAACTCTCTTCAGAATATTTAACATTTTGTGAGGATGATCTATATGAATATTCGTGTTTCTCAGAGTAAGCTTGCATTTTATTTATCAAAAATTTAGCTATTGCTTGTTATTCCCAATATAAGCATTTAGATATCAGGGTAGTTTTATTGTTAAGACCCATTTTCTGAACGCATTTAAGCCACCATTTCGCCAGGTGTGATGGGTGCAGCAGCTGCTTGTTGGTTGTACGGGGCACCCAGAGCTTGGTAATGCGGGGCACTAGCCTGGTTGTACGGGGCACCAGGAGCTTGGTTGTAGGGAGCTGGAGCAACAGGCTGGCCAGCAGGGGGATACGCCTGCTGAACGTTGTATCCGGGAGGGGCCTGAACGATTCCCGCCGGCTGAGTGTACTGGCCTGCGTAGAGACAATGAAAATTCAAGGAATTAGTAGTATAATTTCCCTTTTCACATCAATAAATTGCGATTAATTAACTGATTGTATAGTGCAGAGTACATTGAAATTCAAAGAAAGTGAACGGAAGTTCAATCAAGTTATCGATATTTTTAGCGTATTCATAAACAATTAAGCACATTCATTTCAGAATATTAACCATAACTGTGAAGTATTATAACTTGCAAAACTTGCCAACTTGTTGTACATGTATGTGGACAAGTTCAAGGTTTTGATTCCGATACGTTACAGGCCACATTTCAAAGATTGTCGTATACCTTAAGTTTGTCACCAGATTATAAAATTTCTAGTTGGGAGCTGACAAGAAATCAGGTAGAATTAATAATTTCAGTGTTTATTATGGGTTTATTCTAAATACCATATGAAGCTTAATGACAAATGGACAGAGAATTACACTTGCTAACATTTCACACAGAATCTAGCATTTAATGATAAAAAGGTGTATCAAATAAGGTGTAATGAAACATTTTTCCCACCCCCCCCCCAAAAAAAAAAATGGAAACATAACTATTAAGTACATTCTTCTATATCTAAACTCATAATGAGTGTTCTGTGATTCTTAATACTACCGATAACCATAATTTCTTTTCAGGACAGTTTCAGTGGATTGCTATATACATGTATCAGTGTGTTTGAAATATTGTATTAATCATTTCCGCTAGTGGACCATTTCAAAAATCACATGGTTTAAACTCTATTTATTTAGGCTCTGATATTGCTAGTATCACAGTCTATACTTCCTACCATTTCCTTTCTATATGAACTAATGTAAATACCATGTTTGTTACCAAGTAACTATAGATTGAAGTTGAAGCAAAAACACAAACAATTGATATTTACATACCGGTTGTCACAACCATCGGAATGTTCTGGTGGGGGTACTGCAAAGGAAATTGAAACAAGTACAAATAAATGTAAGATACAAACCAAATGAAATAAACAATGATAATAGCAATAGACCTATTCTTCTTTTGTATATTTTACAATACATGTGATCAACTAATACTCTGTTGGACAGCATTATTCTGGCTTCACATCCTGTTGCTGTAGCGTACATTATGTGATCATGGCAATGAATACATTTATCAGAAACCCATTACTTCAGCTTGATTAAGAGTAGCAAATGTATATTTATGTCTTGCCACATGCCATTGGTGCCATGTAGGGGCAATCATATCAATTGGCAAATGATGTCCTTTGGCAGTATAAAATGTCCGTTGTGCAATGCGGGGGCTCAAACCCGCGACCTTCGTAGGTTCGTAGTTCCAGTGAAGTCATACTACTTGATTGCTATTATACTAAAAAAATGGAAACAAAAAAACACTATGATATTTTTGTATTAATCAATCTACCGATCTATCTTTTTAAATAGGGTCTTGTTAAATATCTGGTTAAAGGAGCGTCTCTGCAAAGTTTTTGACGGAACGGGGTTTAAGGGATGATGTGGACTAAAGTTAAAAAATTGCTGGAATATACTGACATGCAGAGCAAAACAACAACAACAAATCCCGGCCATTCAAAGCCTTTTGCAATTGGCATACAGCCTTAAAAACTTAGTAGGGATGGCAACACCCCAACCATCTCGACCTTTGCTCCCTATAGGGAGCTTCTGTTAAACCAAAGTGCTGAATTCACCTGTAATGGAAATAATCTGGAAACAGCTACAAATATAAGTGGTTGTATTTCTCTTGCGACAATGGATTCCAACATTTTAGCGTGGATTTTTCCACTCTAAGGAATGAAATAACATGACTCTCCACAAAAGTGGCTGTCCACCCCTGTATATTTAGGGGTGAAAGGACAAATAACTCACCATAGTGGTGGTTGTTGGTGAAGACGAGTGACAACAGGCCATGCCACCACAGCAGTAGGCTGAAGCCACAATGGCTACCACCATTTCGATCAGTCCAAGGATGGCCAACAGAGAGTCAGATGTGATGCCTCCGTCCTGTTAATCGAATTCGAATAGTTTAATTATTTATTAATTTACCTATTTATCTACCCATACATTTATTGATTTATTCATCATTTACCTATTCATTAACTTATATTCTCATTGTTTCATTTATCTATTCTTTCATTCATCCATTCATTCATTTATTCATCCATTCAGTATATATATTCATATATTCATAATTATTTATATATATTTATTCATTCATGTATTGAATCATTTATTCATAATAAACATTCAAATAGAAATTTGAAACACTATAAATTTAAGAAAATCTATAATGCATATGGAAACATAACAATAGCCAATGGAATCATAATCAAACTTAATTTCGATTATAATACTGAAAAGTGGAGAGAAGGATGATGGAGGAAATGATTTTAAAAAACCGGGCCAATAAAAACCGAACGTTTTTATGTAGAAGCATTTATTCAGTTAATGATAATACTGTTTCAAAATATTGATTAGAATTGAAAACGACGAAAAGCATTCGACACTGATGGGGTAACAGGGACATAAAACATTTCATCTAAAGAATCATAGAGATAGATCAATAATGTTCTGAGAGGATAGCAAGTTATATATCAAGAATAAACCATATTGTAACAATCATTTTATGGAAGGACGTAAAGTTTAATGGGCAACATGCAGTCTGTATACGTACCACTATTCCTTGTTCACGGTAGTCTGAGCCAAAGTAATAGCCATATTGACTGGTGAGTAATGCCCCAATGGTACCAACAATTAATTGAGCGATGGCAACATTTGCCGTGATGATACTCATCGTAAGATAGCCGATGATCTAAGAAACAACGTTTTATAAATAAATTGTTGAAGAAAACAAAAACTGCAAACAAATGAATAAAGTATATATTAGCGGAACCGATGTAATATTTCATGGTTCCCAATAAACAGAACACCAAAAAGTAACCTCTTTTGGGAGTGTATTTTAAGTGATTTTAAAGTATAGTGCCTTTTGAACTAGATTTAAACGTTATCGACACGTGCCTTCATTTAAACAAAAAAGGTACTCCTGTTCACGTTTTCATCTAACCTAAAAACCGCCAGTTTATCACGCGACTGGAGTAACGTGATTCCACTTACCTCTGTAAATCAAGTGTTTATGACCGAATAACCACTTGACCAAGCAACGAGTTTTTTGTCAGTTAACCGATGGTGGCGATAAATACGTAATTATTTGGTCTTGTAAGCACCTTTATTGATTGGTTTCACAGGTTATCCAAGTTGATGGTAATAATCACGTTACTTACACCGGCTAATCGTCTTATTGTTCTGTCCGTGAATCTCTGGTTATATTCAACTAGTATTCTGAGGTGTCTTACACACCTCTTTAAAAGGTTTCAAAGTTACCATAAATTTCTTGGTTATGATCACGTGGCTCAAGCTGATTACTAATCTAAGCTGTGAAACGTGATATGTAGGTGTGAAAATTAGTAATTATTAAGTGTTTTAAAACACCTTTTTAAATGGTAGTCAAAGTTGCCATAAGTTCCGCGTGTGATGATCTCGTGACTCAACGGAATATTGATCTAAGCTTGTCATACGTGACTTTTAGTGTGAAAATTAGTCATTATTAGGTGTCTTAAAACACCTATTTAAATGGTTTCAAAGTTACCATAACTTTCTTCGTGATGATCACGTAGTTAAAACTGATAACTAATCTAAGCTGTGAATCCGTGATATTTAGGTGTGAAAAATTAGTCATTATTAGGTGTATTAAAACACCTATTTAAATGGAAGTCAAAGTTGCCATAAGTTCCGCGTGATGATCTCGTGACTCAAACGGATTATTAATCTAAGCTGGGCATACGTGACTTTTAGGTGTGAAAAATTAGTCATGATTAGGTGTCTTAAAACACCTATTTAAATCGTAGTCAAAGTTGCCAGCAGTTCCGCGGTGATGATCGCGTGACTCAAACGGATTATTAATATAAGCTGGGTATTCCGTGTTTTCCAGGTGTGAAAATGAGTTATTCGTGGGTGTCTTGATGGTTTCACAGTTACCATTTAAGTTCCGTGGTGATAATCCCGTGACTGTTGGCATATTTCTATGTTCACCAGTTGATAACTGGAGTGTGCATATTTCCAGTTGCACCAGTTGATGACTGAGCGTTGGCATATTTCGAGTTGACCCAGCTGACACCAATTCATTTGCATATTGAATATGGGGTGCGTGCAGATCTATGTTTTTTAAACATTTTATCTGAATTAACAGCATATTTCTTAATTACTGATGATTTAGTTATATGCAATTCATTTCGAAAATACTACAAATATAATAACCAGTTATTAGGACATTTCGCTACTTCGTATAAATAGTTAAACATGAATAGGGAAACATTAACTGTGAACTAAAATAATTTCAATAAAGTACAAGTATACGAATTTTTTTTCGATTAATTCATTATGTAAGTCTACTTATTACCAATGCCCTTACATTGGAAATACAGACGTACCAGTATTGAAGTATTGTTGCTGTTCAACTGGTTGGAAGTTTTACCAAATGGTTCTAATGGCTCAGCTAGACCATTGAATTATAACTGGCCTTGATCAACTGGATCCATTTCATTTCCAGGGTTACCAGTTGGCATTAAATGGTTCATCAACTGGACCAGTTGCAACTAGCTTTCTCTTCTGGGATGTTTGTACCCCCCCCCCCCCACCCAACCCCCTCTAATCCCGACGTAAATTTCACGTGAATGAAGAACATGATTCATCTAAAGTCAACCTCGTAATATTCGCGTGAATTTCACGCAGATATTTTGACTAAAACTATCACTAACGCTTCACGTGTTTCTGTGACGCGATAATTTCGTGTATGAAGATGTAATTTCATAACCAAACAAACACGGAGTATTAGGTTAATAAACCATGGTCTCCAAGGTAGGATAATCACGTTATTATAATGGTGATATTGCAGTGACAATTGCGTGATTTAGTGTACGTGTGTCTTAAGTTACCTAATGCAAAAAACGTATTAACACATTTACGTAAATGTCCGGTGTTTGAAGAACGTAACTCTCCTCAAGTCGATACCTTGATATTGACGTGATTTTCACGTGATTTTGTTTATTGGGTTGTAACATAATACTTGCTTATTGTTGAGTGACACTATCATTTCCTCAGCTACAATCGATTATACAAATTTTTTTTAACTGGCCTTGGAATACATTGAGTGTGTGGGTGCGCTGGGCTCGTATGCGCGCGTGTGCGTGTGTATGTGTGTGTGCGCGGTATATGTTGGGTCGTTGTATACATAGAATGAGCCCTCGAATTAACACAAGAAACGCGTATAGGTAATGAATACATATTTCTAAAAGAGACTAAAGGAAAACAAAAACATACATACCACACGAGTGTTCTTCTTCATCGAACATATTCCCAAGATTCCGGTAGGAATGTAGAACTGTGAGAGGAGAATAAATAACAGCCATTAAAAATCACAATTACAAAATTCAACTAAATTTGTATATATATCTCCATGTATGCTAAACAACCCATGGTTTTTCTCTCTTAAAGATTTGCTAATATGGCCTCTGTCATCTTTTATTCCTCTCACAATTACAGTTTTGCTGAAATTAGATAAATATTTTAAAAGTTCAAACCATTTCTTTTGTAGCGTGTACCGTGTATTTATCTCTAGACAGACACAATTACAGTTTAATACTGATTTGGGAATTAGTTTTAACAAATTTTCAAATCATGATCATGATTAAAAATTCGTTATCTTTATTACTTGTTTCGTGACAATTTTCTTATATTTTTGGGAGTATTTTTCCTAAGAACGAAGACATTAGTGAACACAGGCGCGGATTCAGGGGGGGGGGAAGCAGGAAGAAAAAAAGGGCGGAAAAAAAGGGGAAAAAGGGGGGGGGGAAGAATGAAGAAAAGAAGAGGAAAAAAGGGAGAAAAAAAGAAGGAAAAACAAAGGAGGACAAAAAGAGAGAGAGAGAGAGAGAGAAGAAAAAGAAGTGAAAGAGGAGAGAAAGGGAAAAAGAAGAGGAAGAAGAAAAGAAAGGGGAAGAAGTGATCGGGGGGGGCGAAAGAGCCTCGCCTACCCCCTCCCCCAATCAAAAAAATAAGATAGAAGGCAAGAAAAAGAAAGAAGGGGTATCAGTTGCAATTTTTCCGCCGACAAGTTGTGGATCGGGGAGGGGGTGAGGCAAAATGCCCTTGCCTCCCCCCGCCCCGCTAAAAAAAAAAGAGAGGAAGAAGGAAAAGGAAAAAGGAGAGCTAAAAGGGACCGAAAAAAAGGTGAAAAGAAGGGGAAATAGATCATTTGCAGTTAATCCCGCTAACAACGTGTGGAGATGGGGTGGGGGCCGAAATGACCTTGCCTCTCCCCCCCCCCCCCTATCAAACCTAAAAGAGAGGGAAGGAAGGTAGGGGAGATCAGTTGGATTTTCCCGCCAACGATCGGGGGGCGGGGCACTGGCGCATTGATCGGGGAGGGGGCTCGGGGGAATAAATTTAAACGTGGTTTATTTCTTATTCCATAACGGTGGTTTACAGATAATGCTGAAATGACATAATTTTCCGAGATTTTTCCTCATTCTTTAGTAAATTATACTTTTGTATGCGTTTGTAGATTAACAGCCAGGCAAGAAATATGCTTCTTGAGATGCCTACATGTCAGGGCCCGCGGTACGGCAGGGATCGGGAGCCTCCAGCTCCCCCCCCCCCCCATTTTTTTTTGGAAAAGCATTTTAAAGAGAAATAGAAAGAAAGAGAGCAAGAAAGAAACAATAGTTAACTACCAGTGTCACAACAAAATAAGGTATACAAAATTGCTCTTCTGACCGTAATTAGACCCTTAAAATACCTAAGCTTTCGGGGCTCTGCCCCCGGGACCCAACCAAGGGCCCTTGGGCAGGCCCCTTGATACTCATCTGACCGCAATTTAGTGCCTAAAACCCTTGATCTTCTGGGGGCTCCGCCCGCTGGATCTCACGGCAATCAGTGTCCTGCCAGTGTCACAAATAAGGTATACAAATATGTTCATCTGACCGTAATCAAATGCCTGAAACCCCTCAGATTCAGGAGTTACGGCACCCTCGACTCCACCATGGGCCCTGAGGCGGGCACCTGAATGCTTATCTGACCGTAATTTGCCTTCAACCCATGAGTTTCCGGGGGCGGACAAGGTATCAAAAGATGTTCTTCTGACCGCAGGCGCGTAGCCAGGGGGGCAGTGGGGGCGCCCCTTCCCCTCCCTAAAAAAAAGCCGGCCAAAAAAAGAGAGAGAGAAAAGGAAAAGGACGTATGAAGAAAAGGAGCAGACAAAAAACATTTTTGAAATTCAGACAAGGATTAAGAGTCGAAAACGGTAAAACCAATTGTCTTCTTTCTCTAATTATTTAATGAAACGTACAAGCTTCCGCGCTTCGCGCGGAAGGGGGAGGGGAAAACTAAATCAAGACGACGATTAAGAGTCTAGAACGGTACAACGAATCGTCTTCTTTCTCTAATGATTTAATGAAACGTAAAAGCTTCCGCGCTTCGCGCGTGCGGATGGGGGGGGGGAACTGAATTCAGACGAGGATTAAGAGTCGAGAACGGTACAACGAATCGTTTTCTTTCTCTAATGATTTAATGAAACGTAAAAGCTTCAGCGGGAGGGGTAAAACTTTATTTAGACGAGGATAATTTTCGAGAACGGTACAACGAATCGTCTTATTCGTTTCTCTAATAATTAAATTAAATGTCAAAGCTTCCGCGCTTCGCGCAGGAGGTGGGGTAACTGAATTTAGACAAGGATTAAGAGTCGAGAACGGTAGAACGAGTCGTCTTCTTTCTCTAATGATTTAATGAAACGTAAAAGCTTCCGAGCTTCGCGCGGAAGGGGGGAGGGGAAAACTAAATCCAGACGAGGATTAAGAGTCGAGAACGGTACAACAAATCGTCTTCTTTCTCTAATGATTTAATGAAACGTAAAAGTTTCCGAGTTTTGCGCGGAGGGGAAAACTAAATCCAGACGAGGATTAAGATTCGAGAACGGTACAACAAATCGTCTTCTTTCTGTAATGATTTAATGAAACGTAAAAGTTTCCGCGCTTTGCGCGGGAGGGGAAAAACTGCATTCAGACGAGCAGGCACGTAAGCAGGAGGGGGGGAGAGGTTTGGGGTAGAACCCTTCCCCCCCCCCTTTTGTGATGTTTTTTTTTTTTTTTTTTTTTTTTTTTTTAATATGCCAATGGCTGACCTATTTCGAGACCAAAAAACAAAAAAGTGTCCTCTTACCCCCCCCCCCCCCTCCCCCGCTCATAGCGGCTGGCTGAGTCGTTGCGATTTTTTGGGGACCAAAAAAAAAAAAGTGGGACCCCCTCCCCCCCCCCCCCCCCAGTGGCGCGATCCAGGGGGCCCGGCCCCCCCCCCCCCTTGAGAAAAAATAATGTAAATCACGCGATTTTTACCTTTTTGGGGGTTGGGCCCCCCCCCCCCCCTAGCGCTCAAGGGGGGGGGGGTGCAAATTTTAAAATTTTCGAGGACCAAAAAAAAAAAAAATGTGCTAACTAACCCCCCCCCCCCCCCCCCCCCCCCCCCCCCCCCCCCCCCCCTACTGAGCGACTTTTCGGCCGGCGCGATTTTTTAATTTTCGGGAGCAAAAAAAAAAAAAGTTGGGCCACCTCCCCTAAGAAATCCTGGATCCGCGCCTGCCCCCCACCCCCTAAGAAATCCTGGATCCGCGCCTGAGTGAACATGCACTTTCTCACAGGTTTCACGGCAAACAGCTGCAGAGTACAAGGGAATGCCGACGATGGGGTGCGGGCGGGCGCGCGCGTGTGTGAAGTTAGCGACTGTAATATCAGATCCTCATCCATTTCATGCAAGTAATTCATATTGTGAATTGAAAATAATCTTTTTAAAAAAGGGTTCTTGCCAAAGTGTTAATCACGTATGGAAACAATTGCATGCTCCAAAGATGAACAAAATAAAAATGGCGACTTACCAGAACGCTTGCCCAAATTCCAATGGCGACAAAGCCTAGTCCGGTATAGATGCGGGATAAGATGAACAACTGGGCAATGGCGACGACGATGCTCCCGATGCCGATGGAGATCTGCAGCCAACCAGTCGCTCTCCCGGCAGCTCCGTTAAAGTGCTGCGACACACTGCTCGACGAGTTAGGATTCTGCACCGTATTGGCATAGTTGACTGGTGCGGGCTGGTGGACGTAGACAGTCTGGTCCGGAACTCCGGGCTGGGTTGGATAGGACGGGGCCTGCATATCAGAGGTAACTTGCTGTGTAGGGTAAGAAGGTTTGGTAAAAACTGACAAGAGTTTTAGAGATAAAAATAGGGTAAACAATACATTTAAGGATGCAATTTAGAGCACGGGCGTCAATCAGGGGGGGGGGGAGACAGGGGGACCCCCAAAAAATGTTAAAGGATGGAGGACACAATAGAGTATGTCCCCAAAATTATGGAAGTCTCATATTTCGTATGATAGGCTTTATGGGCCCTACTTTTTGTAAAAGACCCCTATAGAGCACAAAGTGTGTGCTCCAAATTAGGATTTTCATCAAGGCTAACAAGGGGCGTCGACTTTTTCCAGTTCTGTGATTGGCGAAAACTTTTATTATTATAGATTATCAACCAATTGTTCGCGCGGATCTCGGTGGTGAGCGCAATGAGAGTTGATATCATCATAAAGACTGGGAAAATAAGCCCCTTATATGGAAATCAGGGTGGTTTAAAGATATAGAACGGTAGTGGTAAAATTTAGGTTCAAGGGTTTTGGGTGCAAATGTCCATTCAATATTGTTTAAATATTTCCTTCAGAGGTTTAGATGGCAATACTTCAACCTAAATTCGCGAAAAACAGAATTATTTGCCCAAATGTTCAATGGTAAAGTGAATTCGCGATATCTATTCAGGCCGGATCGATATGATAATTTACCAAATATATAAATTAGTAGGCGGTTTTCTGGCAAACCTTGTATCATCACGTCTAAGTCAAAACATATTCTTTCATATTATTATTAATAATAGCTTCCATTTCACTTTTTGAGAGGGGGGCGTTTCCAAAATTGTTCTTTACCTTTAAGACGGAAAAAGAGTTGGATCACTTTCAAGGGAGCGTTATTTTTTTCGGCGGCACAGATTGGGGTTAGGTGCGTGTTGAGCCTATAGGAAAGTTTTGGGTTAGGGTTAGGGTAAGGGTGTGGGTTAAATCAAGACCCCTTAAAAAAAGCCCCAATCTGTGCCGCAGAAGAAAATAAGGCTTCCGGGGACACAAACAGCAGTGGTTGAGTTGTTGATTTTGTTTTCCTCATACCCGGTTGCTGATAATGGTCATATCGAAAGATTCCTTGCTACACTTTGACAAACTTTCAAGTGTGCATCACGTTTGTGCTACAGTGTGTACATCATGCGCATACATATAGACTTTCAAAATGTACCCAAAGCAAGTATTTTTTCGAAGCTCCAAATCACATCCTGAGTAAGTATATCTGGGAGGTTTTCCGACCCTAAACAAGTATGTCCTTTATCATTTATAGTGTTATACAATTTCTATACCTCAAACGAGTATTTGAAGTTTTTTGCACACGATTGTAGCATTTCTCCAGATTACAAATTTAACAGTGTAATCGGCGTCTGGTTTAGCAATAAAATGGTGCTCTTTTTTATACTTGTCATCTTACGTGTATGATTTATGAATTATGTACCCTTTTAACGTACGCGATGTGTGATTTAAACACCTTTTTTGTCTACAAAAATGTGGTTGTTTTGATACCCTAAACAGGATACGCATGTTCCGCCTCCAACGGAAATACTCTTTTCCTCGGTGTTTGTGTAGGCGCAGGATGTACAAGCTGGTAAATAAGTTGCCCCCAGGAAACAAGTACTAATATACAAATAATACACAGCAGTGAGGGCATTAGTAAGAATTACCCATATCGCCTCGGGCGTGTTAGACTTTTCCAAAGGTACCGAGTGTGGGTAATATTACTATTAATGCCCGAACAAAATGATGTGTATTATTTGTTTTCTAAAATTATGAGGTGGATCCTTGTTATTAATTTGATCAATCACCCTCATCTCAAACTCAAAGGCCCGAGGTTGAAATGTAACCCATAGTTTAAATCCTCACTTACATAACCCATGGTTTAAGTGCAGCGCAAATTGATGCATACCTTGCTTTGCGCGCGTCTAATATGACAACAACAAGCTAGATGTGTTTATGACCGGTCATTACCATTGGGTAATGACCGGTCGTTACCCAAATTACGCGTTAGGCAAAATAAATGCCCGGTCACGTGTACGCTTTCAACCAATCATTTGATTAGGATTTACGTCATCATTTTATAATACCTTTTATTCATCAATATTATTATTTCAGACCAAGAGACACTTTAGATGGCACACGTGTTTTTTTTAACGACCGTACCATACTAGTTGTGCATTTTGTAGATACCTAGATGATTGGAGTGTTGTTGGAGTTATTGGAGTGTTATCAATCGCTTTCCTGTTTATTCATTTTTCCCGATTTAATATCGGAGGTCCAAAATAATGATGGTGTAATCATGGCAATGAATACATTATATCAGGTACCCATTACTTCAGCTTGATTGAGAGTAGGAAATGTATATTGCCACATGCCATTGGTGCCATATAGGGGTAATCATATCAATTTGCAAATGATGTCCTTTGACAGTATTAAATGTCTGTCGTGCCATGCGAGGGCTCGTACCTACGACCTTCGAGGGTTCGTAGTTCCAGTGAAGTCATACTACTTGATTGCTATTATACTAAAAAATGGAAGCAAAAAACACTATGATATTTTTGTATTAATCAATCTACCGATCTATCTTTTTAAATAGGGTCTTGTTAAATATCTGGTTAAATGAGCGTTTCTACAAAGTTTTGAACGGAACGGGTTTTAGGGGGATGATGTTGACTAAAGTTGAAAAATTGCTGGAATATACTGACATGCAGAGCAAAACAACAACAACAAATCCCGGCCATTCAAAGCCTTTTGCAATTGGCATACAGCCTTAAATAAATTTAGTAGGGATGGCAACACCCCAAACATCTCGACCTTTGATCCCTATAGGGAGCTTCTGTTAAACCAAAGGTGCTGAAATTCACATGTAATGGAAATAAACTGGAATCAGCTACAAATATAAATGGTTGTATTTCTCTTGTGACAATGGATTCCACCAATTTTTATCGTTGATTTTCCACTCTAAAGGAAAGGAAAATATCATGACTCTCCACAAAAGAGAGTGACTGTCCACCCCTTTATATTTAGAGGTTATAGAACAAATAACTCACCATAGTGGTGGTTGTTGGTGAAGACGAGTGACAACAGGCCATGCCACGACAGCAGTAGGCTGAAGCCACAATGGCTACCACCATTTCGATCAGTCCGAGGATGGCCAACAGAGAGTCAGATGTGATGCCTCCGTCCTGTTAATCGAATTCGAATAGTTTAATTATTTATTAATTTACCTTTTTATCTACCCATACATTTATTGATTTATTCATCATTTACCTATTCATTAACTTATATTCTCATTGTTTCATTTATCTATTATTTCGTTCATCCATTCATTAATTTATTCATCCATTCAGTATATATATTCATATATTCATAATTATTTATATATATTTATTCATTCATGTATTGAATCATTTATTCATAATAAAACATTCAAATAAAGAAATTTGAAACACTATAAATTTAAGAAATCTATAAATGCATATGGAAACATAAACAATAGCCAATGGAAATCATAATCAAACTTAATTTAGATTATAATACTGAAAAGTGGAGAGAAGGATGATGGAGGAAATGATTTAAAAAAACCGGGCCAATAAAACCGAACGTTTTTATGTAGAAGCATTTATTCAGTTAACGATAATACTGTTTCAAAATATTGATTAGAATTGAAAACGACGAAAAGCATTCGACACTGATGGGGTAACAGGGACATAAAACATTTCATCTAAAGAATCATAGAGATAGATCAATAATGTTCTGAGAGGATAGCAAGTTATATATCAAGAATAAACCATATTGTAACAATCATTTTATGGAAGGACGTAAAGTTTAATGGGCAACATGCAGTCTGTATACGTACCACTATTCCTTGTTCACAGTAGTCTGAGCCAAAGTAATAGCCATATTGACTGGTGAGTAATGCCCCAATGGTACCAACAATTAATTGAGCGATGGCAACATTTGCCGTGATGATACTCATCGTAAGATAGCCGATGATCTAAGAAAACAACGTTTTATCAATAAATTGTTGAAGAAAACAAAAAACTGCAAACAAATGAATAAAGTATATATTAGCGGAACCGATGTAATATTTCATGGTTGTAACATAATAGTTGCTTATTGTTGAGTGACACTATCATTTCCTCAGCTACAATCGATTATACAATTTTTTTTTAACTGGCCTTGGAATACATTGAGTGTGTGGTGCGCTGGGCTCGGATGCGCGCGTGTGCGTGTGTATGTGTGTGTGCGCGGTATATGTTGGGTCGTTGTATACATAGAATGAGCCCTCGAATTAACACAGAAACGCGTATAGGTAATGAATACATATTTCTAAAAGAGACTAAAGGAAAACAAAAACATACATACCACACGAGTGTTCTTCTTCATCGAACATATTCCCAAGATTCCGGTAGGAATGTAGAACTGTGAGAGGAGAATAAATAACAGCCATTAAAAATCACAATTACAAAATTCAACTAAATTTGTATATATATCTCCATGTATGCTAAACAACCCATGGTTTTTCTCTCTTAAAGATTTGCTAATATGGCCTCTGTCATCTTTTATTCCTCTCACAATTACAGTTTTGCTGAAATTAGATAAATATTTTAAAAGTTCAAACCATTTCTTTTGTAGCGTGTACCGTGTATTTATCTCTAGACAGACACAATTACAGTTTAATACTGATTTGGGAATTAGTTTTAACAAATTTTCAAATCATGATCATGATTTAAAATTCGTTATCTTTATTACTTGTTTCGTGACAATTTTCTTATATTTTTGGGAGTATTTTTCCTAAGAACGAAGACATTAATGAACACAGGCGCGGATTCAGGGGGGGGGGGGAAGCAGGAAAAAAAAGACGGAAAAAAGGGGAAAAAAGGGGGGAAGAAGGAAGAAAAGAAGGGGGAAAAAAGGGGGGAAAAAGAAGGAAAAACAAAGGAGGACAAAAAGAGAGAGAGAGAGAGAGAGAGAGAGAAGAAAGAAGTGAAAGAGGAGAGAAAGGGAAAAGAAGAGGAAGAAGAAAAGAAAAGGGGAAGAAGTGATCGGGGGGGCGAAAGAGCCTCGCCTCCCCCTCCCCCAATCAAAAAAATAAGAGAAATGGCAAGAAATAGAAAGAAGGGGGTATCAGTTGCAATTTTTCCGCCGACAAGTTGTGGATCGGGGAGGGGGTGAGGCAAAATGCCCTTGCCTCCCCCCCCCCCCCCCCCCGCCCCGCTAAAAAAAAAAGAGAGGAAGAAGTAAAAGGAAAAAAGGAGAGCTAAAAGGGACCGAAAAAAAAGGTGAAAAGAAGGGGAAATAGATCATTTGCAGTTAATCCCGCTAACAACGTGTGGAGATGGGGTGGGGGCCGAAATGACCTTGCCTCCCCCCCCCCCCCCCTATCAAACCTAAAAGAGAGGGAAGCAAGGTAGGGGAGATCAGTTGGATTTTCCCGCCAACGATCGGGGGCGGGGCACTGGCGTATTGATCGGGGAGGGGGCTCGGGGGAAATAAATTTAAACGTGGTTTATTTCTTATTCCATAACGGTGGTTTACAGATAATGCTGAAATGACATAATTTTCCGAGATTTTTCCTCATTCTTTAGCAAATTATACTTTTGTATGCGTTTGTAGATTAACACCTAGGCAAGAAATATGCTTCTTGAGATGCCTACATGTCAGGGCCCGCGGAACGGCAGGGATCGGGAGCCTCCAGCTCCCCCCCCCCCCTCATTTTTTTTTGGAAAGCATTGTAAAGAGAAATAGAAAGAAAGAGAGCAAGAAAGAAAGAATAGTTAACTACCAGTGTCACAACAAAATAAGGCATACAAAATTGCTCTTCTGACCGTAATTAGACCCTTAAAATACCTAAGCTTTCGGGGGCTCTGCCCCCGGGACCCAACCAAGGGCCCTTGGGCAGGCCCCTTGATACTCATCTGACCGCAATTTAGTGCCTAAAACCCTTGATCTTCTGGGGCTCCGCCCGCTGGATCTCACGGCAATCAGTGTCCTGCCAGTGTCACAAATAAGGTATACAAATATGTTCATCTGACCGTAATCAAATGCCTGAAACCCCTCAGATTCAGGAGTTACGGCACCCTCGACTCCACCATGGGCCCTGAGGCGGGCACCTGAATGCTTATCTGACCGTAATTTGCCTTCAACCCATGAGTTTCCGGGGGCGGACAAGGTATCAAAAGATGTTCATCTGACCGCAGGCGCGTAGCCAGGGGGGGCTGTGGGGGCGCCCCCCCCCCCTCCCTAAAAAAAGCCGGCCAAAAAAAGAGAGGAGAGAAAAGTAAAAGGACGTATGAAGAAAAAGGAGCAGACAAAAAACATTTTTGAAATTCAGACAAGGATTAAGAGTCGAAAACGGTACAACCAATTGTCGTCTTTCTCTAATTATTTAATGAAACGTACAAGCTTCCGCGCTTCGCGCGGGAGGGGGGAAACTGGGGTACAACGAATCGTCTTGTTTCTCTAAATGTCAAAGCTTTCGCGCTCCGCGCAGAAGGTATAGGGTAACTGAATTTAGACAAGGATTAAGAGTCTAGAACGGTACAACGAATCGTCTTCTTTCTCTAATGAATTAATGAAACGTAAAAGCTTCCGCGCTTCGCGCGTGCGGATGGGGGGGGGGGGACTGAATTCAGACGGGATTAAGAGTCGAGAACGGTACAACCGAATCGTCTTCTTTCTCTAATGATTTAATGAAACGTAAAAGCTTCAGCGGGAGGGGTAAAACTTTATTTAGACGAGGATAATTTTCGAGAACGGTACAACGAATCGTCTTATTCGTTTCTCTAATAATTAAATTAAATGTCAGAGCTTCCGCGCTTCGCGCAGGAGGTTGGGTAACTGAATTTAGACAAGGATTAAGAGTCGAGAACGGTAAACGAGTCGTCTTTCTTTCTCTAATGATTTAATGAAACGTAAAGCTTCCGATTTTTGCGCGGGAGGGGGTGAATTTAGACGAGGATTAAGAGTAAAAAACGGTACAACGAATCGTCTTCTTTTTCTAATGATTTAATGAAACGTAAAAGCTTCCGAGCTTCGCGCGGAAGGGGGGAGGGGAAAACTAAATCCAGACGAGGATAAGAGTCGAGAACGGTACAACAAATCGTCTTCTTTCTCTAATGATTTAATGAAACGTAAAAGCTTCTGGGTTTTGCGCGGGAGGGGGGTAATCCAGACGAGGATTAAGATTCGAGAACGGTACAACAAATCGGCTTCTTTCTCTAATGATTTAATGAAACGTAAAAGTTTCCGCGCTTCGCGCGGGCGGGGAAAAACTGCATTCAGACGAGCAGGGCGTAAGCAGGAGGGGGGGAGAGAGGTTTGGGGTAGAACCCTTCCCCCCCCCCCCTTTTGTGATGTTGTTTTTATTTTTTTTTTTTTTTTTTTAATATGCCAATGGCTGACCTATTTCGAGACCAAAAAACAAAAAAGTGTCCTCTTACCCCCCCCCCCCCCCCTCCCCCGCTTATAGCGGCTGGCTGAGTCGTTGCGATTTTTTGGGACCAAAAAAAAAGTGGGACCCCCCCTCCCCCCCCCCCCCACCAGTGGCGGATCCAGGGTGTGCTCACTACCCCCCCCCCCCCCCCCCCCCCCCCCCACTGAGCGACTTTTCGGCCGGCGCGATTTTCTAATTTTCGGGAGCAAAAAAAAAAAAAATTGGGGCCACCTCCCCTAAGAAATCCTGGATCCGCGCCTGAGTGAACATGCACTTTCTCACAGGTTTCACGGCAAACAGCTGCAGAGTACAAGGGAATGCCGACGATGGGGTGCGGGCGCGCCCGTGTGTGAAGTTAGCGACTGTAATATCAGATCCTCATCCATTTCATGCAAGTAATTCACATTGTGAATTGAAAATAATCTTTTTAAAAAAGGGTTCTTGCCAAAGTGTTAATCACGTATGGAAACAATTGCATGCTCCAAAGATGAACAAAATAAAAATGGCGACTTACCAGAACACTTGCCCAAATTCCAATGGCGACAAAGCCAGCTCCGGTATAGATGCGGGAAAAGATGAACAACTGGGCAATGGCGACGACGATGCTCCCGATGCCGATGGAGATCTGCAGCCAACCAGTCGCTCTCCCGGCAGCTCCGTTAAAGTGCTGCGACACACTGCTCGACGAGTTAGGATTCTGCACCGTATTGGCATAGTTGACTGGTGCGGGCTGGTGGACGTAGACAGTCTGGTCCGGAACTCCGGGATGGGTTGGATAGGACGGGGCCTGCATATCAGAGGTAACTTGCTGTGTAGGGTAAGAAGGTTTGGTAAAAACTGACAAGAGTTTTAGAGATAAAATAGGGTAAACAATACATTTAAGGATGCAATTTAGAGCACGGGCGTCAATCAGGGGGGGGGGGAGACAGGGGGACCCCCAAAAAATGTTAAAGGATGGAGGACACAATAGAGTATGTCCCCAAAATTATGGAAGTCTCATATTTCGTATGATAAGCTTTATGGGGCCCTACTTTTTGTAAAAGACCCCTATAGAGCACAAAATGTGTGCTCCAAATGAGGATTTCATCAAGGCTAACAAGGGGCGTCGACTTTTTCCAGTTCTGTGATTGGCGAAAACTTTTATTATTATAGATTATCAACAATTGTTCGCGCGGATCTCGGTGGTGAGCGCAATGAGAGTTGATATCATCATAAAGTCTGGGAAAATAAGCCCCTTATATGGAAATCAGGGTGGTTTAAAGATATAGAACGGTAGTGGTAAAATTTAGGTTTAAGGGTTTTGGGTGCAAATGTCCATTCAATATTGTTTAAATATTTCCTTCAGAGGTTTAGATGGCAATACTTCAACCTAAATTCGCGAAAAACAGAATTATTTGCCCAAATGTTCAATGGTAAAGTGAATTCGCGATATCTATTCAGGCCGGATCGATATGATAATTTACCAAATATATAAATTAGTAGGCGGTTTTCTGGCAAACCTTGTATCATCACGTCTAAGTCAAAACATATTCTTTCATATTATTATTAATAATAGCTTCCATTTCACTTTTTGAGAGGGGGGCGTTTCCAAAATTGTTCTTTACCTTTAAGACGGAAAAAGAGTTGGATCACTTTCCGGGGAACACACACAAACACACACACACACACACACGCATAAATGTTCGTTGATATTCGATATTTGATATGTGTGGTATAACCAATTTTGTTAGGAATTTATTTGGATCTGCAAAGACCGAATTAATACCCAAATCCCACTTGTTTTATTCAAGCATCACATAAGCAATTTTGGCGCAAGTCGATTTTTGCTAACATGAAAGATGAATTTCAAAGGCCAAAGATGTCGACAAATCCCCATAATTCTCCTTATCTGTAACCAATGTGATGTGACTAGCATTCATACACCGATATCGATATATATTTAACAAACATTGATTTCCAATCAATATAAACAACATATTTTCTTTTTTACGAGTTGAAAGGTTAACGGAGCAAGCAAAGAATTCATTCGTGTACAGTACGAAAAATGCGAAATGCCTAAAAAAGAAATCTCTAGTAGAAAAATAAGCCAAACCCTTCACAATTAAAAGATGGCCGAAATGGTGCTGATATGACTCTGTACTGAATAATTTTAAGGAAAAGTCACACAGCAGATTATCATTCAGAATAGCACCAGTATTTTAATCAGTTATAATGGAGTGAGCATTGTTTTCGGCACAATGTAATGCTTATATTGTCCCAAATCTACATAATGGAATACATGAGTATACCTATTTTAATTTGTAATTTCATAGGTTTCAAGATTTACAAGCTTACCCTACAACATGACCCTTTTGAACTTTCCCATCAAAAAATATTACAGATAAATCACGACGACCTTTGAAAAGTACTATAAAAGGGAAGTAATAATTTTGTTTTAACTCATTGGAAGTGTATATACTGTACGAGAACGGAATAAGTATGGTTGTTTTTATATCACAAATTGGATGATTTTCATTCACAATCAACAAAAATATTCAATACGTAATTCACATTCCGGCTCTATCCTCTTTTGCTTATGTTACTTATGATTCCCTGATCGATATTGCGTATTTTTTGAAAATGGATACAACCACACAAGCTGGATCCTCACCATTAACACCTCTGTGTACATAATATGCACCCATCAACAAAATGGCGACTTAAAGTACAATTAGAAATGATAATGATCTAATGATTTGAATCATATCAGCAGTAAGAACATGCTTCACAGCATTCAATAATACTATTCCTGTCCAAACAAACCCCAATTTAAATTGTGCTGGAACTATCGCGCTAATGAATGAAAAACAAATTAGACTTACCTTGATTGTCTGTTTAAAATGTCTGCCTCAAACCAAGTTCTTTAATGATGCTGTATAATCGCACGCACTACTTTTATCTTACTGTGAGCGGTAATTACAATAGAAAAATGGATCCGGGTTGTGTATGGAGTGACATCCTGTGGAGTGATTGATTTTATTCTGACTCATTTAAGTTTCGTGTATATGTATGATCGAAGTGTAGTCCAGCCTCTGTACCGTTTCCGTTTAGCATACCCATCAGCTGATAAAATAACACACCCTCAACGTTAAAAGTAGGCCTAGCCATTCCTCTAAATCTGGACCTCGAATACGTGTAGACGGAAATTTGGGGATTGCGCGATCAGTGGTCAGATACCGCGCTGTGTGTGCATATATGTGCATGTGATAGAAGAATAAAACAAAGAACGCCTGAATCTGGACTATATGAAGTGTTGCAATCGATGATCTTCTCCACACCCACCCACCCCCCCCCCCCACTCTCTCTCTCTCTCTCTCTCTCTCTTTCTCTCTCTCCCCTCTCTATCTATCCCTCTCTCTCTCTCTCTCCTTCTTTCTTGTCTCTATTCCTCTGTCTTTATTGGTCTCTCACTCTCTCTTTTCTCTCTTATTCTCTTGTACTCTATTTCTACATACCATTCCTCTATTTCTCTTGACATGTGTGTGTGTGTGTGTGTTTGTTTGTGTATGTGTGTGTGTGTGTGTGTGTGTGTGTGCGTGCGTGCGTGCACCCATGGTGGAAAACGCGACCAAATTATAGGACCTTCATGGCGAGGACAGACAGCGAAGTGCGGACGTCCTCGTTTCTCCGAGGACGTCCTCGTCCAGGGTGTAAATCCCGGGGGGGTGGGGGGCTGCATCCCCCCCCCCCTAGTTTGAAGTAGGGGGGGATGGCCTCTACAATCATCCCCCCCCCTGATATTACCACAAAAAAAGAGAGGAAAAAAAAGGAAGAAGAAGAAGAAAATGTGATTGTTTCAATTGCAGCATAATGCATGAGAAATGAGTTATTTTGTTTATGTATAGCTTACACGTATACAATATGTCACGATAAGGAAACGTTAAGGCTTCCGCGCTTCGCGCGAGAGGGGGAAACTGAATTCAGATAAATAGGGCTTATTAAAAGTCGAAAACGGTGCAACGAATCGTCTTCTTTCTATAATAATTAAATCAAACGTCTAAGCTTTTCGCGCTTCGCGCGGGAAGGGGAAACTGAATTCAGACGAGAATTAAGAGTCGAAAACAGTACACTCAATCGTCTGCTTCTCTAATACTTTAAGGAAACGTCAAGGCTTCCGCGCTTCGCGCGAGAGGGGGAAACTGAATTCAGATAAATATGGCTTATTAAGAGTCGAAAACGGTGCAACGAATCGTCTTCTTTCTATAATAATTAAATCAAACGTCTAAGCTTTTCGCGCTTCGCGCGGGAAGGGAAACTGAATTCAGACGAGAATTAAGAGTCGAGAACAGTACACCCAATCGTCTGCTATCTCTAATAATTTAAGGAAACGTCAAGGCTTCCGCGCTTCGCGCGAGAGGGGGAAACTGAATTCAGATAAATAGGGCTTATTAAGAGTCGAAAACGGTACAACGAATCGTCTGCTTTCTCTAATAATTTAATTAAACGTCATAACTTCCGGGGGGGCGGAGGGGGGAACTGAATTCAGACAAGGATTTACAGTCGAGAACGGTACAGCAAATCGTCTCCTTTTTATAATAATTTAATGAAACGCAAAGCTTTTTCGCTTCGCGCAGGAGAGGGGGGGGGGGGGGATTCATTTAGACAAGGGTTAACAGTAGAGAACGGTACAATAAATCGTCTTCTTTTACTAATAATTTAAGGAAACGTCTAAAGCTACATCCCCAGTCCCATATAAAGCCGGACCAGCACGGACGAGCACGGACCACTCCGGACCATCCCGGACCATGGTCTGGGGTGATCCGGGATGGTCCGGGATGTTTTGTTCAAAAAAGTGTGATGCTTTTAAGCTACAGTCCCATATACGTCCCGGACCGTCCCGGACCATCCCGGACCCCATCCGGTGATCCGGGATTCGGTCCGTGTTGACACCGTGTTGGCACCGGGGTGGTCCTGGATGGTCCTGGATGGTCCTGGGCGTCAATAATTCACTCCCGGACTGCCACGGATCAACACGGACCGCCCCGGCGCCACTACGGATGACCCCGGACCCAGCACGGTGGCTACACGGATCACCCCGGATCAAACTATTGTCCCGGACCGTCCCGGACCACCCCGGCAGTTTTTGACCGTCAAAAACATCCGGGGTCGACTCCCGGACCGCCCAGGACCATCCAGGACCATCCAGGACCATCCAGGATCATCCAGGACCACCCCCGTGCCAACACGGTGTCAACACGGACCGAATCCCGGATCACCCCGGATGGGGTCCGGGATGGTCTGGGACGGTCCGGGACGTATATGGGACTGTAGCTTAAAGTCCCATATACGTCCCGGACCGTCCCGGACCATCCCGGACCCCATCCGGTGATCCGGGATTCGGTCCGTGTTGACACCGTGTTGGCACCGGGGTGGTCCTGGATGGTCCTGGATGGTCCTGGGCGAGTCGACCCCGGATGTTTTTGACGGTCAAAAACTGCCGGGGTGGTCCGGGACGGTCCGGGACAATAGTTTGATTCGGGGTGATCTGTGTAGCCACCGTGCTGGGTCCGGGGTCATCCGTAGTGGCGCCGGGGCGGTCCGTGTTGATCCGTGGCAGTCCGGGAGTGAGTTATTGACCCCCGATCACCCCGGCGCCCCTACGGATGATCCCGGACCCAGCACGGTGGCGACACGGATCACCCTGGACCAACACCGGGGCGTTCCGGGATGATCCGTGTTGGCACCGGGATGGTCCGGTGTCATCCGTGTTGGCACCGTGTTGGCACCGGGGTGGTCCGGGACGGTCCGTGGCGGCTCCGTGCTGGGTCTGGAATGATCTGTTCTGCTGCCGGGGCTATGCACGGACGGTCCGGGGCATTCCGTAGTGGTACCGTGTTGGGTCCGGGGAGACGGTTGTCGGTTGCGATTTTTTGAACAAAACATCCCGGACCATCCCGGATCACCCCAGACCATGGTCCGGGATGGTCCGGAGTGGTCCGTGCTCGTCCGTGCTGGTCCGGCTTTATATGGGACTGGGGCTTAAGCTTAGGTAGGCCTATCACCCACATACCCCTAATGAGCGAGCGTGTGTGTGTGTGTGTGTGTGTTGTGTGTTTGTGCGTACGCGATCGCGCGCGCTTGCGTAAATTAGTGTGGGCGTATGCTCCTGCTAGTGTGTGATGGCCATCGCCGATCATCCCCCCCCCCCCCCCCCACTCCTCGGTACGGATTTACGCCCCTGTCCTCGTCGGTCCCAAAATTCAAAGAGAGTACTCAAGGATCATTTTTTATGACTTGTATAATCCTAATACACTGAAAAGAGAAAAGTCATCAATTAAGTGGTTTCGGTCCTACGGAGCGTGTTACTTATACACAATCTGCAAGGACTTCAAGATTCGCCAAAAAAATGTGTGTGTGAACCTCGGGGCCCTAGTCCCAAGTTGTGCACTGCCCTGCACATCACATGAAACACAAGTCCCAGCATGCAGCATGTTACGCGCCATCACTGCGCGCTACTCTCTTGCAGCGCTGCTATCTAGTGCAACAGGCAAGCCCACTGCCGGTCCTGGCTCCGAGTGTAGGGTGCGGGCCGCTCGCATGCGGGCCGGTCCTGACGTCGTCTGCTTGAAATAAGTAGGGACTTTTAGATTTGCACGTCGACAGCTTTGACTGCAACGTGTGGCGTCATTTTAAAGCACTGCGCATGCGTCACGTCGTCTCAGTCGGCGATCGAGAATGCGTCAACCTTGATTTTCCTAATCTAGTACCGCGTGCGCATAAAATGTACAGTTCCTCAGGCAGACAAAGGAAAATCCCCTGCTATTATCTAAACATGTGTAGAACAGGTGTCACATACATATTCACCTGTTCTAAACATTTTTACATAATAGCAGTGAAGAAATGTTCTTTTGTCTACCACAGCAATTGTTGAGGGTAGAATGAGGAACTGAATATTTTATCCTCTTTCTTTGTCCGTCATGTTCATGTTCATTTACTTCCTGCATGCATGTATATCGTCAAGTGCAATTTAAAAGATGTATAATTGTAGTCAACATGGGCAGTTGAGTACGTTGACATGCATGATCAGTCGGCGTCCGACTGATCATGCATGTCAAATGGACGAGAACACGACGAACGCCGACTGATCATGCATGTCAACATGGACGAGAACACGACGAACGCCGACTGATCATGCATGTCAACGTACTCAACTGCCCATGTGGACGAGAACACGACGAACGCCGACTGATCATGCATGTCAACATGGACGAGTACACGACGAACGCCGACTGATCATGCATGTCAACATGGACGAGAACACGACGAACGCCGACTGATCATGCATGTCAACGTACTCAACTGCCCATGTGGACGAGAACACGACGAACGCCGACTGATCATGCATGTCAACAAGGACGAGAACACGACGAACGCCGACTGATCATGCATGTCAACGTACTCAACTGCCCATGTGGACGAGAACACGACGAACGCCGACTGATCATGCATGTCAACGTACTCAACTGCCCATGTTGACTACAATTGGAAATCTTTTAGATTGCACTCGACGATATACATGCATGCAGGAAGTAACACTATGAACATAACGGACAAAGAAAGAAGACAAAATATACAGTTCCTCATTCTACCCTCAACAATGACCATTTTCGTAATGTTACCAAATTAAATGCACAAGTCTTTGTGTAGTGCCTCAATACAAATTATTTTATTCACCTGATAAGAATAATAGTAATTCAATAGTCAGAATACAAACTTCATATATCAAGTGTTGCTAGGTAGGTCAAGCCATAATGTTTGTCCAACCTGGCAACAACTAATGTATGCAGTTTGGATTGTGTCTATTGAAATACTGTTATTCTTACCAGGTGAAAGAAATAATTTGTATTGAGGCACTTCACAAAGACTTATGCATTAAATGTGGATACATTACGAAAATGGCCTTTTGCTGTGGTAGCAAAAGAACATCCCTTCACTGCTATTATGTAAAAATGTGTAGAACAGGTGAATATGCAT